TCTGCTGACGAAGCATCTGGGATGGCTCTGGGGTACAGGGGTGGGAGTTAGCAAGATACACGGGTGAAGCCTGGCCTGAGAGGCCAGAGGCCTGGGCTCTGGTCCCCCCAGCTCCACTGGAACTTGTTTTGTGGCCTTGAAGGAGCATCTCACCGTCTCAAAGGGGAGTTGGATTCCCTGTTGTCTGAGGCCCTTCTGGTTTTGAGGCTGGGTGTTTGTGCCTTTGGCTCACATTACTGTTTCCGTGTTTTCCTAGTGCGTCTGTTCCCCGCTCTCCCTTCCTCGCGCCCACCCCCTGGCCCTGAACCCCTACCCTCTTCTCTTTCTCTGAGCTGGTCTTGGCTGGGCTGCTCTTTTGAAGCAGGGGGACTTCCGATCCCTGTGACCTCAGGCCATGAAGTCCTCTTTACATCTAAGAGGTAACTGGTCCATTGAGTGCCAATTGTCCCCTCAGGTCAGAGCTAGAATGTGAGGCTGCATGGTGGTAAGGAATGGGCCGTGCCGCTCACACTCGGGTCTCGCCCGCGGGAAACACGCCCGGGAGCCTGTGTCTGCCAAGCTCATCCTTCCTCAGCCCGGCCTGGAAGCAGCTTCCCCCCGTCCAAACCTCTCCGTAAATACTGCGGACACTGCTCCTCAGGAGACAGTCCCTTCTGGGGTCTAGCCTCTAGTCCTTCCACTGCTCCCTCAGGGGTCCGCTGACGCCCCTGCGCCATCGAGGGCCTGACCGCCTTGTCTGGCTCCCCATGGGACCCCGGAGGCCTCTCCTCCTCCTGCGCCCCCCGCTGCCCTCCTGGTGCCTATCTGACGGCCGGTGAGGCCGTCCTCCGGCTCTGCTCTCATCCCTGTGCGTCCCCAAAGCTGGGCGTCCAAGGAGAATGGGTTGGGGTAGCAGCAGGAAAGCCCCAGGCCTGACATCTGGAAGGATTTGTGCAGCCACTGGGCGGGGACACAGGACGGGGGGAAGGAACGGGGAGAGCCGGGGTGCTGGGGACCGTTGGGACCCGGGGGCTTCTGTCACCGCCCCGGCCGCCCCAGGCTGCAATCTCTGCGGCAGGGCGCACACGGGATGACCTTCGGCTCTGGGGGCTCGGGGTTTCCTCTGTGGTCAGGATTATTTTCCAGGCTGAAAATCAGGATCTTGGCCCTTCTCTTGCGTCTCTGGCAAGCAGCAGGAACACAGTCCTCCGCCCCCTCTGGGGGAAAGAGGACAATTTATAGAACTGTTCTGCTGTTCTTAGCCCTCACTGAGACAAAGAATTCATTTCTGTCTCTCAGGGTGGCTTCCCCTGCAGATGGTCATAAATTGCCTTCCTGCTCACTCTCTGACCCCTTGATCTTTTTGCTTTTGTGCTCAAAAAATTAGTAATATTTCTCTTAACTCCATATATAACCTTTGGCTCCTTCTCCCCTTTTTCTGGGTGAAGGTGTCCTCAGGGATTACTCCCTCTGCCTCCAGGCTGCATACCTCTGCCTGGGCGGGGCCCTGTGCCCCTGGATGAGGATGGAGACAATTCCAGCAGGAGGAAGGAGACAATTCCAGCAGGAGGAAGGTTCGAAAGTCCCTGCTTTGGGGAGCTCCCACGGTGAACATAATCACAGCTAGCATCTCCTGCTCACTGTGTGCCTAGCACCAAGAGCTGCAGAATACTGACCCACTTAATCCTCACACCTCCCCCCACAGTAAGTGCTCCGGTCCCTGTTTTCAGATGAAGAAACCAAGGACTGGGAGGTTAGGTCAATAAACTGCCGAGGTCAGGCCGAAAGTAAGGGACAGAACCTGGGTGAGGATCCCCTCCTGTTGGTTTCCGGATCCATGTGCTGTGTTCTCAATAACTCTGCTGTCCCTCTGATGGGGAGAGGGGCTCCCCAGCTTGCCCTCAGGAAGTTGCAGACTGAGGGGGCATGTACAGCCCTTGCCCCCAAGGGGCCCCAAGTTTGATAGGGGAGGCAGATATTCTGTCCTGTGGAGGTATGTCTGGTCTGGTGGAAAAGACACAGGCTTTGCCTTTGGGAGCATCCACCGGATACTGGGGACTCAGCCCCAGGTTGCCCCCAGTTTGATGAGAGTTACGTGATTAGACTCTAGTAGACTCAGTTAATTTAAGTAGAATTGTGAACATTGGTGCCAGAGAGAGGAGAATGGAGCAAAGGCTGGGGAGTTGCAGGAGGGGACGTGTTGCAAGACTGGCTCTCAGCAACATGGCTGGGGGGTAGGGCAGGCACCCTCATGGGTGGCAGGCAGGCACCCGTGAAAGGCAGGCTTGCGGGGGCGATGCCCAGGGAGCAGGGCCTTGCTGAGCTCAGTAGTTCTCAACCCTGGCTGCCCATTAGGATTACCGGGGGAGACGTTTAAAAACACCAGTGCTTGGGGCTTCACCCTAGAACAGTCTTTGGAAGTGAGGCCAAGGCACCGGTGTTTTTAAAAAGCTTCTCAGGAGATGATGCTACAGCTGGTGTTGAGGACTGACTGGAGTTGGGGTCTTCGGCTCCGGAATCGGGGATGTTGAATGGCTTATGTGGAGGGGATTTTGGAGAAGTGTGTTTGCTACGTATGAGCAGAGCTGGTGAGGATTTGAGATTAAAGAGAGGCAGAAGGAAAGTTAAGGGACTGGGCAAGACAGGTGAGGTGACTGCTTTGGCTGTTGAGGAACTGGAGAAATTTGGTTCTTCCGCTGCTAGGGTTTCAAGGTAATAAAGAGATAAGTTTTGATAACCGAGTCCTTCCTCACTCTAAGAATCACCATCAAACCTGAACAGAAGCTGGAAGAAGGTGGGTAAGAAGCTCTAAGCTAAGAATATTCTCTTCCCTCATTTCTGGGCTTTTTCTTCTCAACATTGTCCTAAATAGCTATCACCTGGCCTTCCCTTCTGTGCACCTTTATGCAGAGGAGAAAAGGCAGTCTCACTGATACTCCAAGAACACCTCTACCTCAGGGCTTTTGCACTGGCTGTTACCACCTACCTGCTCTTTTTTCCCCTCAGATACCTGAATCCCTCAATTCCTTCAGGTCCCTGCGCAAATGGTGCTTTAGCTGAGCAGTTTTCCCTTAATACTGTTTGTCTTTCACAGCATCTCCTGCAACCTGGTACAGTTTATATTTTATATATATTTATATAGAGAGAGGCAGTAAAAACTAAAACTGTCTCTTCCTCCCCTCCAGAATGGAACTCTAGGAAAGAGGGACTTAGCCTTTTTTTTTTTTAATTTTTTTCCATTGTTGTATCTCCAAGGCCTAGAATTGTGAGTGCAGCACAAGCAGGCCCTAAAGAAATATCTGTGGAATGCATGATTAATGAATGAGAAATGAAAAGCCCTTATGTGTCTGCGCACTGGTGTGTGGCTCTCCAAATGTATTTGTGATTATATTCCTATTTCTCTGGGTCGGCTATGGCTCTTTACTTTTAAACTGTGCGTTTGCCTGGGCACATGTGTGTTTGAACGTATGAAGGACTCCCGGGCTGTGCACTTTGTGCTTCTGAATATGAGCTCGTGTGTTTCTCTGCCTGTGGATCTGTGTCCTCCAGTTGTGAGCAGATGTGTCTGGACCGTTCAGCCCAGGTTCAGTTCAGGTTCCTCGAAGAGACCGCCTCGCACCAGCAGGGCGCACCAGAGAGCCATGCGCCTGCGTTTCAAGGGCCGAAATTGAGAATTCTTGGCGGGTAGTGTTAGGGACCCAGGAGACCGAGAATCTGTGGAAAGAAGTGGAGACCTCTCTAGACCAACAGAGTCCTGTAAAGTTGTGCAATTCCGCTGCAATGTCTGTGATTTCTCCTCGACTCATCCCCTAGGACGCCGATTCCTGGCACTCCCAGCAACAACGTGAGCAGAAGCATCTGGTTGGGGTTGGGAGGGGGCCTTGGTGGCTAAGCTGGGCTCTTAGGAAAGGAGACCCCTACGGAATGCCCTCGTTCCACTCACTGGGAACTCCCTCCCTTCCCAGTTCCCAGATCTCTCAACCCCAAAGGATCTCAAACTCCTCTGTGCTTAGAGATCCTCCCGTGGCTGCCCTCCCCTTGGCCCTTCCCAGCCGTGGAGTTGGCTACTTTCTCCTCCTGGACGGTACCACCCAGGATGAACAAAGGCAGGAGGCCGCTGCGCCCCTTCCCGGCCGGCTGCGGGCTGCGACAGCTGGCCTGGCCCCACTGTGTGCTGGGGGCGGCCCGGGCAGGGGCTCCAGGAGGCTCCGAGAAGCAGCTCCCAGTGCCCAGCTCCGGGTTTTGTAGTTGGGGAGAGGCACACATCGCATCCCCACCCCAGCATTCAGTAATCCATCGAGAATTCCCAATTTCGAGAATCTAGGGGTTAGATTCTGGATGTGGGATTAACAAGAAAAAAACCCAGGGATTTTGTGCTTTTTGACTCCAAGACCCACCACCTGCCCACCGCGTCCCCCCTCCCCCCATACACACACGCAGACACACAAATGCACTCACACTGCCTCCCCATCACGGCCATCCCCCGGCCCAGGGGCAGGTCCTCGCCCGGCCGCCCCCACAGCCCGCCGCCCCCTCGGCAGCGCAGGCCCCAAGCTGCGTGTGTGTGACGGCTGGGGCTAGGTGGCCGGTCCCTGTTCCTCCCCCACCCCGGGTCCCGCGCCGCGGGCATCTCAGTCCCGGCGAGGGGTGTGCGTGCGCGCCGGGGGCCTGAGGGCTGGGGGAGGGCTGGGGGAGGAGACGTCAGGAGGGGCGGGGAGGGAGGGGAGGGGAGGGGAGGGCCCGGAGGAGCGGAGAGCGGAAGAGCCCCGGAGAGCGCGAGCTGGGCGAGCAGCAGCACCGGGCGGGAGAGGGCAGGGCCGGGGCGAGGGCGGGACCGCGGGGGCCCGGGAGGCCGGGAGGGCGGGGGCCGCGGCTGGGAGCCGAGGGCTCAGGAGAGCGCAGGGCAGGGAAGTGAGTTTGTGCGCGCGGGGGTGCGCGCGTACGAGTGTGTGTGCGCCTGTGCACGCGCGTGTGCAGGGCCGGGGGCGGGCTCCGGTCCCGCTCCCTCCTCCCGCCCGCGCCCCGCGCTCCGTCGCCAACTCGGAGCCCCGGCGCGGCGGGCGGCGGACAGCATGCTGAGCCTCCTCGTCTGGATCCTCACTCTCTCCGACACTTTCTCCCAAGGTAAGCCCCGCCGCCTCGCCGGGCAGGCAGCCCGCCCCGCCCCCCCCCCCCCCCCCCGGGCGCGGGCCCGACTTTCCCGCGGATGCGCCCAAGTTGTCCCCGGCCGCGAGCGCTGGGGTCGGGCCGTCGCGGGACCCGAGCGCGCACGCAGCGCCCTCCCGAGCCTCGGGCGCCCTCCCTGCCTCTGCCCGCCGAGGCCCGGAGTCTGCACGCCCGGGTCCTGCGGGAGGGGGGGCGGAGGGGGTGATGAGGGCTGGGAGGAAGGTGGGATTTCAGATTTGGGGTGGGAGGTGCGCGGAAAGCTGGGGACCCGGCTCCCGAAGATGCCACGAAGGGAATCCCGACTCCAGCCTAGCCCCTGGTTGGGGGGGGGGCGCTCCAGCCTGTCTGGGCCGCCCCCTCTGGAAACGGGGAGGGCTGCCTGGGGGCCTCTGGTGGGACCCCTGCTCGCGGAGGCGCCGGCTGGGGAGCGGACTTCCACAGGCAGTTTCGGGCCGGCTGGATGTTCAGGGGGGCACTTGTAGGGGGGCTTCACATCCCACTTGGGGGCGGGAAAGTGTGGTTGTCGGGGCGTATTTGGAACTGGCAGGGGAGAAGCTGGGAAATGAGGGAGAGGTTGAGAGAGGTGAGGACGTTAGTGTATCCTGAGGCTGGGGGTGGGGGGGGGTAGCTGGGGAAACAGAGGGCCCAGGCTTCAGCTAGCACCGGGCTCTGTGGGTGTGCATTCTGGCCTCCTGAGTCTCACTCTAAGGAAGAGTTAATCCTGCCGAGCTAGCCGCCCCCTTCCAAAAATGGAGCTGACACACAAACACCAAAAAACAGTCATAGACACAGAGACAGACGACTCACCTACTGAGACAGATGTACCCACAAGCATCCCCCAAACGGAGACAGACACATACACACAAAGGCACTGACACCAGGAGCAACACAGATTCCTCCTCCACGTTGGCTTGCATGTTCATGCACCCAAACACATCAAAACTCACCCAGACACAGTGCATGTATGCGGGCGGGCATTTACAAGGACGCGACACACACACTGAAACCCTTCTACAGAGACCAACCCTCCAGCAAACAAAGAAACTTGAACAGACGTTCATATAGGCAGACACCTATGGAGGTGGGCAGACTACATCATGGAGGAGGTGGTCTCCTTTTGGGTGGAGCGGAATCTGGGTGGAGGGAAGTCCACTTGGGGTAGAACACCCTCAAGCATTGCCCTGTTCTTAGTTCCCTTCCTGGGCTGCTGTGTGTGTGTGTGTGTGTGTGTGTGTTTAGGGGTGGGGTGTTGTGCTGGACACCTCCTCTCCTTACCAGACCCCTCCCCAGCTCCCAAGGCAAAGCCTGGCTGAGTTGGTGGGGGGCTGGTCTGGATCTTTCTTTCCTGGAAAGTCACCCATGCCCCCCAACACAGGCTTAAGACCTGGGAAGGGCGCGCATCCCCAGTGTGAGCGGGGTCAGAGGCGGTGCTGGGGAAGGAGGCCTGGCCCTGGTGTTGGCAGGCCAAGCAGCCGCCTGGCACAAAGTTGGGATGAGAACGCAAGTTCTGACTTTGTGAGGCTGGCTGCTAGGGGGGTGGGGGGGCTGCTGGGTCAGTAGCAGCATGTGTTGGGGGCAAGCTTATGTCTGCCCCTTTCCTGCAGCCCCAGCATGTCAGCAATATGGAACAAAATGAGCTTCAAGGAACAAAAGCTGCAGTTAGCAAACAGGAGAGACATGTGGATTGAATCGGGAACAGAATCAGTCAGAGAGAGAGGAGTGTGCTGTGTGCCTTCCTCCCTTTGGGAAGGGGAAGGGGGAGGGTCGAGGGTAGGGTCAGTCAAGCTCCCACCTCCTTGCCTTCCAGGAGGCTGAAAGCAAGACCGGAGACCCGAAGGAGTGTGCAGAGTATTTGGGTGGGGGAGGGGTGCCAAAGGAAAGGAAGGGGGAAAATGGACAGGGAGGGAAGAGGAAGTCCAGCCGAGGTTCCTGGGAGGGACTGGGGAGCCGACAGGGAGGGAAGGAGCCGGGACCGCGGGAGACTGGGACACTCACAGGGTAGGTGACCTCTCTTGGCCTCCATCCTTAGAAAGAAAGAGTTCCAGGCCAGGGACTAGGGTAGTGGGAGACGAAAAGGGGCAGGGGGTATGGCGGGGGGTGGGGGTGGGGGAGGCTGGTGGTGGGGAAAAGGGGAGAAGGTGGCAGAAGGCAGTCAAGTTGAGGGGGAGCAGAGAGGAGGGGGGAAGGAGAGATTCAGCCCAGGCAGAGAAATAAAAATCGCATTTTAAAGAATTTCAATGGGCTTCATCAATCTTCATTTTTCACTAAATAATTTTCTGTATCTTATCTAAATGAAAACCATTATCCTTCCCCCCGTTTCCATCATGCGCCGGCTCCTCAGACTGATTGCGCCGAAAATTGAAATATTTATTCATTTTCTGGGAGATTTTCTCGCTCCCCAGTCTCTGGGAGGAGAAATTGAAAAAGAAAGATTATAGCTAATCAGAGCAATGTGGGATGACAGGCTGGCTCGGGGCGGGAGCTGCCTCTGGGGGATGGAGGTGGGGGTAGGAGAAAAATCTGTCCCTCCAGCCCCCAGCGGCCCCCAGGTACCCCTGCCTCAGCATGGCAGGGGGCTGAGGAGCCAAGGGAAGAGCCAAGAGCCTCCTAAATCCCCAGGACTGGACTGCCTGAGTATAGCTCTGTCCTGGCAGAGAACAGGAGTATGGAAGGATCAGTAGTTGGGATCTGCTCTCCCCTCCCCGATGCACGCGGGCTGCAGATGCCCCACCTGTGTCTGCCCAGCCCAGAGCAGGCCTTGAGGCTGGGGAAGAGGCTGGGGAGACATGGCAGAAATCAGGATGCCAGGTCCCCCTCTGACCTTGATTGGGCTCTACTTCCACTCAGAGCTAAAGGGAGCCTGTGAACCCACCGCTCCGTGCCTGGCATTACTCCTGGACCTCAGACAGGCTCGGATCAGAAGGAGGAGATGTGGAGGCCTTCGCTCCCACCTTATGCTGGTTACCAGGCCCCTGGTTGTGGTTGTCTTGCTCTGCCTGGTTCTCTGGTGGGGCGGGGACCAGGAAGCCAGCACTGGCCGGCTCTCACCCTTTGCCACGAGAGCCCAGTGCTCTGACCGAAGCTCCTCTGGCCTTTGTACCCTTGGGGACCAAGTCTTAATTTCTCTTCCATCCCCTCAGCCTCTGATGCCAGTGCTGCCCACTCGGTGAGTGCCCTTGACTCTGATCAGTTGATTGGTTTGATGCAAGCGCTAGAGTGTGGTAAAGGTAGGGTCTACATCCGAGGCCCCAGGCTAGTCGCTCCCTGGTTACACCCCCTTGGCCACTTGGTAGACATGTCATGTCAGCTTGAGCAAGGTGTGCGCCTTCTCCAGGCCTCACTCTGCTCGCCTGTACAGCGAGGACAGAAATCGCACCTCCCAGGGTTGGGATGGCAATGCAATGCGCTGCGTGCGCCTAGTGCATGGACCTAGTGCACAGGGAGCAGGGCTCAGCAACGCTTGCCATCAGGACCTGGTGGCTGCACGTGGAGGGGCGGCAGGTGGGTTGTCTGTGTCTGTGTCTCCTCGCAGCTCTTCTTTATGCTTCTCTGTCTTCTCACTCCAGCTGCTCCGATTCTTGTCCTGGCCTTCTGCCTCCTCGGGGACCTCTCCTGGAGAGGACTGGGTCTCGGCAGGCCCAGGAGGGGACACTGAGCAGCCCCTGCGGGCTGGAGATCTCGGAAGCTCTGGGGCTGGGAAGAAAGCAGAGTGGAAGAAGCTGGCAATCCAGGGAGAAGGATTCGGGGCTCTTGCGGGCAGTGAGGAGGGGACACTAGCCTGAGGTGGCCGCATTTCTGAGGCTGGAAATAACACAGATCATTTGTGGTGCCCTCGTGCTAACTACTTCATATGCATTATCTAGTTTAATCTGTGCAACAAGCCCCGAGATCAGCTCTGTAATTGTCCCCCTTCCATGGATGGGGAATTGAATTTTAGACAGGTTAAATATCTTGCTGGTAGTTGTGGGAACTGACTGACCTCAAAGCCTGTACATACACACGCACCCCTCCCCCTGCCCTGTCCAGGGACCCCACATGCCCCCAGGGACTGATGCTGTACTAGGACAGATCTTTCCTGGTCCAGAGTGGAATGGGGACTAGGGAGAAAAGGGAGTGAGCATCCCGTAAAGGTAAACTCATTCGCATTTTAAAAACAATCCTTTAATCTGACATTCTGTCTTTCCACATTTTTTAGTATCGGATGGTTTTTCTTGGGTGGTGTGATGGTGCTCAAAAGTGGCTTTTTTTTTTAAAGGACTTTACTTGGCGGATAAAAAGGGTTGCAGCCCTGTGTTTGTTTCTAATATCGAACACAGCCTTACAGGTCCATGAACCACACATTTGGGAACTCCACGCAAGGCTGACTCGTGGAGGGGGCCAGAATCATATAGAGGCAAGGCGTGAGCATGGGGCAGCCGGTCACTTCCAAGCCAGGCCCTTCCTGGCAGACACAGAGGCTGGGGGCTCAGGCGGCCTGATCCAGTGGGTTTTGAGATGCTCTGGCTGGCCAAGCATGGGTGAGGAGCACTTGTGGGAGCGCATCAAAATTACTTTATATTGAAGTCCTACTGTGTGCTTTTCATATTATCCCTTATTCCTTGTAATGGCCTTGTGAAGTAAATCCTTCCCCCTCATTTTATAGAGAAGGAAACCAAAGCTGAGTTTAACTTGTTCAAGGCCATACCTGGGGTGTTAGATCCCAGATTAAAACTCTCTTTGTGCGGCTACAAAGCCCACACTCTGCCAGGCACTTCCAGGACGGGCGCACGCATGTGTGTCGGGCCTCACTTGGAGCTGTGGCAGCCTCGGAGGGGAGAGTGGTCTTCCTCTCCTCCTCCCCACGCTGGGGGGCAGGCTGCTCCTGGTGCCTGGCCCTTGTCCATCTCCTTGCCCTGCTTTGATGGCTCTCTCATTTTATTCAGAGCAGGTGGGAGCTGTGCATCCTGCCCCTATGATCA